ACCAAGATTTTTATGCAGCCCTAGTTCAGTGAAATCACAATCCACTAGTTTCTAGGTTTTTTTTCTGGCAGCCAGCAAACACTCTGCTGCTCCTTAGTCTCCCAATGGGCAGCAGAGTGTTTGCTGGCTGCCAGAAAAAAACCCTAGAAACTAGTGGATTGTGATTTTACTGAATTAGGGCTGCATAAAAATCTTGGTTTACGTAGGAAGAACTGGCTAAAGAGAAATACATACATACATACATACATACATACATACATACATACATACATATCTATACACTGCTCAAAAAATAAAGGGAACACAAGCAGAAGACATCCGAGATCTGAATGAATGAAATAGCCTTATTAAATACTTCCTTCGTTACATACAGTAGTTTTGTGTTCCCTTTAGTTGTTTGAGCAGTGTATAAACTACTGTATGTAAATAACAAAGTATTTAATAAGGCTATTTCATTCATTCAGATCCCTGATGTCTTCTGCTTGTGTTCCCTTTATTTTTTTGAGCAGTATATATATTTATATGAATATAAATGTATATAATTGAGTATATATGAATATTTGTTTATAAATATGTGTGTGTGTGTATTGTGTGTGTGTGTGTGTATGTGTGTATATGTATGTATTATGTATGTGTTTTAAATACCACTCCCACCTTTTTTCTAAGACCTAAGATTTTTATAGATATTGGAGTTGAGTGGCAGGATTCTTACTGTCATTAGTTGCCTTTGAGATGGGGGAAATTAGGTAGTTTGTGGGGTCCTTGGCTCTTGGGGGCCCTCCCGCCCGCCCCCATGTTATACCTACCTTTATTTGTCGTTTTTTAGCCCAGCTGATAGGCATGGTAGAGTGGATTGCTGCATCTCAGCTGGGCAGAAATCTAAGGCGCAAAGAGCGTGCACGAAAAGAACCGGTGGTAACACCGGTTGGAACCCATCACTACTGGGCGGGGCTACATTCGGAGTATAAGACGCACCCAGATATTCACCCTCTTTTTTGGGGGGAAAAGGTGCATCTTATACTCTGAAGAATACGGTAGTTGTGTGCAGAAGCAGCTCAGTTCCATGGAGAAACCTCCCACCAACAATAAGTAATGCTGGAAGCTAAAGCAGAAAATCTAGGAAAGGATTTTTGTTCTGGAGTGCAACACATGTAATGGATGCAAAAGGTTCTGGATTTACTCTCTGACTAGGGCAACTGGAAAGGATCACTTGGAAACCCTTAAAAGCTGCTCCAGGCAGTGCTAATCTAGATGGACAAATTAAGAAGAGAAGACATCGAAAGAATCTTGCTAGGTCCAGCTAAGAGCTCATTTAGTCCATGGTAGGCAATTTACTAACAGTTAGTTAGTCCAAAGTAGACATAGTAGACAATCATTGGATATTCAGGAAGCCCACAGCAAGATAAACAAGATTGTCTTTCTTAATGTAAGTAACTTCTCACATTCCCCTTATTGATGAAACCTTCCCCTGTCTATTATCCTCCTGTTGTGAGATAGGACCAAGTAGTTATTACCAGACACAATCAGTCCTAAACAAACATATTTTATTAGAACAACTGAGAATTACTTCATTCTCAGCTTAGTCCAAATTAATTCCAAAACAAGTCCTTCAGAAAAAGTCCTTTGGCTTTATCACAAACCTTTGTCTTCTTTGACAACCTGCCAAAGGCTTTTCTTGGCAAAGCCCCACAAAGTTCAGAAACAAGAGATGCTGACAAGAAACATATGTAGCAACATTGCTTTACAGAAAGAGCCCAAGAGCCTTTGCTGCTCTTTTAAGCCTTATGGGAGGGGCCAATCATCTCCTGGCCTTACTCCTGAGTCGTCCTTTTTTGCTTTAGCTGCTCTTGCTTTCTGGCAGCTCTTCGCATGCGTGCACTAGGAACAGGCTCCTCCTGTTCCTCTGCCTCTCTGCTGTCCGCCTCTGGAGGCTCCGGAGTCTGCATATCGCTCCCAGATGGCCCTGGTCCCATCTCTCTGTCTCCGATGCCGAGCCCTCGTTCAGGCCTTCCCCTGACTCCAGGATTGGCCCATGGTCCTCCCCAGCCTCCTCATTGTCCGACTCTGCTACCAGCTCCGCAGGCTGCTGGCGGACCACAACACCTCCATATATTTTGGACACAAGGCTCATCATCCATAGCTATTGCTTGAAGATGTTTGGTAAGGTGGGGTGACTGAGGAGGAACGGGCAGATTGGAGATTCTACATTAAACAAAGTTTATATTCAGTTTATATTTATATTACTGTCCTTGTCCCTCTTTTACTGATTAGCTCTAAAGATCTGTAGCAAACTTTCATTTGTACCAGCAGGCTTTCTTAAATCAAAAATATGGATGTGCTATACCCAATATATGATTTGTGTTCTTTACAATTGCAATATTCCTGTGATTGTTCCAACCCAAGAGTGGAAAAGAGAGTCATAAATGATTTGACTATACATCTATGATATGGTCTACGGTTCCTCTAAAAGACAATTACGTAAACCAATGATCCCTCTTTATTGCTTGGATAGAATATAGCAATGAACCAACTGTAGGGACAATGCAAGGCTAGTTGCTGAAGACCTCTTTTCTTGGTGTTGGAAAAGATGATCTCAAGTGTTCTGTCCCCGTACCCCACACGCACCCCCACAGACGGCCCGGAGTTAATAAGCCACACAACAAAACTCTTTGAAGATAAAGCTGGCAGCAACCCAGTGGCTAGCTGCCAATTCAGACTTTACTCACACAAAACAAAGATTAGACTGCAAGCATTCCGATAAAACAGGCAGAGTGTCAACAATACAAGGATTAATCCAAATGCAGTCCAATAAAGCAGGCA